AAAAAAAAAAAAAAAAAAAAAAAAAAAAAAAAAAAAAAAAAAAAAAAAAAACAGGTGTTTTAGGTACCAAAGAGGCCCAGGTATGAGGGAGATTTCTTCCTCTGGAGAAGAATTCCAGCTGATAAATTAGAAAATCAACATTTTGCTGCCTTCATGAGATAATTAATTCAAACAAAGATCAACAGATGCTAAAACCATCAGGAAGAAGGTTGATGGAGAACTTCACAATGGAAGAGCAGGTGGTCCCCACCTGAATGCACTGATGAATCCCAGTATCATTAAATGTGACACTGCCTGCCATCATGTGTGTCTTGAAGCGGTGCACCATGAAGCACACCATACCACCTACGGGGTGTTCTTGCCAAGAAAAATTTAATACAAAATGCATCAAGCCTTTCCATCTAACAGGGAATACAGAGGTTAGAGGAACAGGTTAAACAGCAGCAAGAGGAAGCAGTTAGACAACTCCAGACGATGTGGGACATTGCACAAGACAACTGACCTGGTTTCTGCAGTGTGTCTGTGGCAGAGGTTCTCACACTCGAGTGTGCATCAGAACACAGGAGGGCTTGTGAACACTGAGTGCTGGGCCCCACACTCTGAGTTTCTCATTCAGTAGGACTGGGATGGAGCCTGAGAATCTGCATTTCTTCTTTTTTTTGGTGGCTGGCTAGTATGGGGATTGAACTGTAGACCTTGGTGTTATAAGCACCACACTCTAACCAACTGAGCTAACCCACCAGCCCTGAAAATTTGCATCTCTAACAAGCTTCCAGGTAAAGCTGATTCAGGGACCACACTGGTCTATGGCACAGGAAAAAAAGGGCATGGCTTTGTTCTGAATTAGAAGACACTAAGGAGACACTGACACATGCAATATGTGGGCCTGGTTCAGATACTGATTCAAATAAACCAACTGTAAAAAGATACTGTGGGTATACAGACAGAAAGTAGAATGGTGGTTGCCAGAGGCTGGGGACAGGGGAGAATGGGGAGTTGCTTAATAGATAAAGTTTCAGTTTTGCAACATGGAAAGTGTTTGGAGCTGGATGGTGGTGGTGGTCGTACAACAGTGTGAACGTGCTCAGTGCCACTGAACTGTGCATTCGAAAATGGTTAAGATGGTAAATTATATGTTATTCGTATTTTACCACAGTAAAAAAATTGGAAAAAAAGATATCGTGTGTGTATCAGGTGATATGAAAGGACTATTTTACTTGTGTTAGATGTGGTAAAGTTACAGGGATTATTTAAGAAAGATTTCACATTTTTTAGAGATGCATATTGAAGAAATTAGGAAATGAAATGACGTGATGTCAGAGATTTGTCTTCAAATACTTCAGCAAAAGGGAGAACCAAAGAAGCAAATGTGGTAAAAACACATTGATAATTATTGACTCTGATGATAGATTTATGAGGTTCTCTCTATTTGTGCCTGAAAACTTTCATAATACAAATTTTGTTTTAAATAATGACCTATGGGTGGTCATTTCCTAACTGCAGGCCTCAGTTTCTCCAGCTGCAGAATGGGGAGGGGGTGGCATCTGGATCAGACCAACAACTTGCTCCACCTGTCTGCCTCCCTGAGGGGCACGGCAGAATCGACTGGGGGCTTCTTAATCTCTCCAGCCCTCTCCACCCTGGGTTCTGCTGTGAATGGGATGTTGAGGACTGTGTGGCTCCCTCGGGTGAGGCTGAGGAGAAGGGCTAACTGCTGGGCCACTCAGGTCCCTGCCAACTTGGCTCTCAAGTGCACCTTTTTTTTTTTTTTTTTTTTTCTTTTTTT